CATCTGAGCTCAGTTCTAAAGGAAATTAGGGATTGTAAGAGGCATAGGAGAGGAAAGAGTGTATTTCAGAAGTGAGGGAGCATTAATGCGGGAGCCATTTTGTTTCTAACACTTCCTTTGAGGCTATTGCTCCAAACTTTCCCTTGTACTGGCAGATTGCATCTATAACATGGTAACCACTGATTTGAGTTCTAGAGGGTCAGTCTGTGGGGCTACACTTCTAAAAGGATAGCTCTTGAGTTCCTGCTGTGTACTTCCCACTAATAAGCTGTTGACTCAATTTGCTTTTATTAATGGCATTTACTCCAAAAGCATAGCAAGAACTGTAGTTACAAAAACATTCTCTTCACACCCTAGAGTATATTCCTCCATAAATACACACAACATCCGTTGGAAGAGTAGGCTCAAATTTTGAGTATGATGGTAACGAGGTACAACCAACAGGCAATTCCCAAATCCTGGTGATAGAGTCCTTGCTCAGTGCCCCTTGGGAGGGAGGATGTTAATCAATACCCTTTTCTCCCACAAGGGTCCACATTCCCCAATATTATCCTCATGTGATTATCTCTCAGATCCATCTGTCTTTGATGTCTCTGCTCCTGCAGTCTTCCAGAGCTACTCTGGGGACATCAAGACTGCTGTCCTGTAATATTCCCAATATCCTTGGACATTTTGAGAACTCACAAGGTCACCTGGATACTTCCATCTCAGGATACTCATTCATCTAAGATTAGGAAAAAATTAACAGAAAGAGATAGAAACAGCCACGTGCTAATGGTCACCATGACCAGGTAGAGGCCAGGAGCCCCCAACCAATCCATCTCTGAGGAGGCAACTCAAACTAGTCCTACCTCAATCATCACCAGGGAGACTAGGAGGCAGAAGAGTACACTGACATTTTTGAATATCCACTGAACTCCAGCTCATCAGTGAACTGTTAACCTCTTCATCATCAACTCTTAGCAACCTCTTCTGCAATGAGCATATAAAGTCAAAGTTGATTCTTACCAAGTTTATATGAAGTACACTGGAGCTAGTCAGGGAATATCTGTGCATGCTCTGAGGAATAGGCCCCATAAGCCAGTCTACCCATACACTATATGTTTGTTCATTTTAAACAAAACTTTAAGAGCCAGCCTGAGAATTTTGTGTTTTATGTTAGAGATAGTAAGGAGCTATTAAAGATTTTTGAGTGAGGAAGTGACATAGACAAATCTATATCCTACAAGTAACAATTTGGCAGCTGTGTGGAGGATGGATTGGGTAGAGGAAAAACTGCAATCAGAAAGAGCAGTTAGGAGGCTATTGCAACAGTCTATGTAAGGAATGATAAAGCCCTTGACAAGACTAACAGTTTTTGAGTGGAGTGGAGAGAAAGGGACAAATCTAAGAGTTAATGTGGAATTTGAATTGATAAGACTTAGCACCTGATTAGATGTGAGGAAGATGGAAGGAAGAGGGAAAAATCAAGGATAACTCTAACATTGTGAATCATAGCTCAGCCACCTAATACCTATATGAATTTGGTGACATTACTTAATTATTCTGGCCCTCACTTCCCTGATCTTTAAAATAGATCTAAATTTGTGGCCCTACATTCCTATGCTTACATCTCACCTTTATGTTCCACAGTCAAAATAATGACTTTGTTGATTGACTGTTGATTGATCGAAAGGTACTGATGGGCTCTAGGATAGGTCAAGTCAACAAGCATTTTTAAGTGCTTACTCTATGCTGGGAACTGTGCTAAATGTTGGGAATACAAAGAAAGGCAAAACATGCTCTTAGGCAGCTCACACTCTAATCAGGAAGACAATTAGCAAACAATGACATACATCCAAGACATATACAGTGAAAATGTAAGGTCATCTCAGAGGAAAGGCATGTGGGGAAAGATTCACATGGAGGGAGGAGGAACAATGAGAGGTCTTTGTACTGGGTGAGATTTTAATAGAGCAGTAAAGAAAGCCAGAGGACATGGAGCATGAAGATGAGAAGGGAGAGCACGCCAGGCATGGAAGACAGCCAATGAAAAAGCATGGCAATCAGAAATGTAGTATCACGTTCAAGGCCAGTGTCTTGATCATACAGAGACAGGTCTAAAGTACTAGAAGACTAGAAAGGTATGAAGAGATCAGTTTGTAAAGGGCTTTAAAAGTCAAACAGAAGATTTTAAATTTTATCCTAAAGGTGATAGATACTGGAGTTTATGGAATAGGATACTTCAACCTGGAGTATGTCAGAATTCTAGGGGGCATGGGTGAGCAGAATAGGGTAATCCTAGAGAACCAATCTGTGCTGGCTGCAGTTCTCTGAAGAACCAACCAAGGCCTTCAAAGGGAATTCAGAAATGTTCCAGTCATCCATGGATGCCATGATTTGGTAAATGACCCAAATTTTAAGTAATAGTAATGTCTCTGGATCCCGCTGATTTGGACATGAAACCCTTGGGATGCCAACAAATTTTCAAATGATTTAAAGGTGTAAGCTACGACCCTTCTAGAACTCAGGAATATCAGTTGACATTGCTGTTGGTTCTGGGCTAGAGAGGTTGGAGAAGGACAAGGAGATCTGGCACTGTTCACAATAGCAAATACTGGAAAAAACAATGAAAAGTCCTCCCCTTAGGGAAGGACCTCCCTGTTGTTCCACTCCCCAGGGCAAATGATGCTTTGAATGCTGCTCCCAAACATGATTCAGTCCTAAAATGACTCTGAAAAAAAAATCACAGTCATGATTTGTGACTCTGTTGAAGTTCTAAGAAACACTCCCATCAAGTCTCATTGCCAAGTTCTTCATGTAAAGTTTTTTAGGAGTTACTCTGCTTTGTAGTTCCTAAACAAAGCCAAAAGAAGATTCTCTTTAGAGTGGTTCCAGGGAGAATGCATTACTCAGTTATACTGTGTTAGGGGGTTATCAGGGGCCACTCAGCCCTAGTGGGCCTTTATATGCAGCGTGGCATAAAGGTAACATGGAATAATGAATTAGAGAGCTAGCCTTATAAGCCAGGAATATCTGTGTGCGTCACCCAATACTTGTGTGACACTGAGGGAGTAATTTAACCTTATCATGCTCTTGACAACTCTCTAAGATTTTAAGTGACTGAAGGTGCTGACCTACACGGGTTAAGGAAGTTTTTTCACCTGGGAATTTTCTATGCTGATGAAATGAAAGTACAACCTTAACCCTATCCTGTTTTTCAGTTGGTGATCTCTGTTGCCTAACATGTCCATTATATTTCTGCTGCTGTCCTAACTAGGTGTCCAGGTAACTAGGTGCCTCCCAGGTAGTCCCAGCTCACAGTTAGTGCTGAAGAGTTTTTTTGTTTTATTTCACATAAAACATTTTTGGATATGCTTTGACTTTATGTCACCTAAGTTTCCCCATGTGCCTCTTCTTAGAGAGCCATCCTTTAAAAAGATTCTTTCTTTTGTTAATCTCTCCTTCCCATTGCACCTCACTGAGAAATTTTTAAAATGAAAAATAAAGCGCTCAAAACATAGATAATACAGTGAAACAAAACAGATCCTCACATTTTACTGTGTCCAAAAATGTGTCTCAGTGATTCTTAAAGTCATCATAACGGTGTTTCATTGTTATTCTTTTGATTTCATGGTTTATCATTGTTGATCAGAGTTTCAAAGTTGTTTTTCTCTGTAATGTTATCATTGTATAAATTGTTCTTCTGGTTCTGCACACTTTACTTTGCATTTGGTTCATAGAGATTTTCCCAGTTTCTTCGGAAAATTTCTATTTCATCAGTTCTTATGACACAATATTCCATTACATCCGTTTATTATAATTTGTTTACTATTTCCCCGATAGCAGGATACCCTCCTTACTTTCGATTTTTTTTTTTTGCTACCATGAGAAGAACTGCTATAAAAATTCTCTGTATATATAAGAATCTTTTCCACTTTTTTCAGTATGTGCCTAGTGGTGTGGCTTGGTCAAAAGGTATGCATAGCTTACACACTTTTTGGACATGATTCTAAATTGCTTTTCAGAATAACTGGACCATTTCATACCTTCAGCAATACTAAGCATTAACATAGCAGCCTCAGGACTCAAAAGCGAAGACTACAGGTCTCAACCTCCATGACTCAATAGCAGGCAATTCCTTTTCCTTAGACCCATGAGTGCTGATTAAGGCTGTGACTAGGGCATCTAGCGTCTGCCACCTGGGCCAGGGTCTGAACCATGTGCCTCAAAACAGGAAATCCCTCAGGGAAGTGTGTCTAAATCCACAATGGTTAACAAAACATAGCCTTTGCAACATCTATCATTTTACTCTTTTGTCCTCTTTGCCAATGGATGTGAGGAAGACCCTTAAACTTACTTCAGTTTATATTTCTCTGTTAATGTTTCAGGAGATTTTTTTCATACAATCATTGGTAGCTTGGATTTCTTCTTTTTAAGATTGTTCATATTCTTTCACCATTTATTTATTTATTGGGGAACGGCTTTTAGCCTTATAAATTTGATTTAGTCATGTGCATATGCGTGTGTATGTGTGTACATGAGACCTTTATCAGAGAAAGTTGCTGCAAAGATGTTTTCCATTCAACTACCTCTTTCTCTTCTAATTTTAACTACATTAGATTTATTTATGCAAAATTAATATAAATTGTGTATCATCACCATTGTCCATTTTGTCTTCTATGATCCTATCACTCATTTAGTCATGAACTCTTCTTCTAGCCCAAAATCTGAAAGGTAATTCCTTCCTGTTCCTTTAATTTTCTTATGATGTGACCTTTCATATCTTGGTCATACATCCATTTGGAACTTCTCTGAGTATTTAGTATGTGGTATTAGTCTAAACTTAATTTCTCTTAGCCTACATCCAATTTTTTGAGCAGTTTTTGCCAAGTAGTCCTCTCTCCTAGTAAGTAGAATGTTTGGATTTATTGAACACTGTACTACTGTGTTTATTTGCTTCTGTTTGCTATGTACCTAATTTGTTGCATTAATTGACCTCTCTGTCTTTTTTTAACTAGTACAAAATCAGCAGCAGCTGAGGTGTCAAACTCACAGATGCCAGCCACATGGTTCCACAAAACTTCCCAGTCCAAACCAGATTAAAAATGTAATTGAGAAATGTTTAACAAAATAAATAAAAATGCAATGCAACATAGATAATGATAATTTGTGGTTTTCTAAGTCAATATATAACCTGCAGGGATCAATTTCTATTTGAGTTTGACACCACCGAGCTAGAGGATTTATATTTTTTAAAAAATCCTGCCTTAACTTACATTTTCTCTCCCTCCAGTAAAGTCCTACTGTGAAGCCTTATTACAGTTTGGAAGTGACCCTGGTTTTTCAAAGGTTATATCTGTGGAATGCAATATCTGGCACATTAAGCCAAAGAAGACCTAATTGCAAGATGGGCCTAGATATGTACTGTACATCTGTTGTTTCCAGAAGCCATCTGGCCTATTTCAGAGAGGCTCATGATCAGTTTGGCTTTGGGGTGATTAATTAGGGGGACACAGTAAGTGCTTAATAAATGCTCATTTACTCACTAACTAGTAGTGATGAGAAGGTGGAAGGAAGCTCAAAGCATAAGGGAGAGGAGAGAATCAAAGGATCAAAGATCTGAAGCTGGAGAGTACCTCAGAAATTGATCATCTAATCTAATACTCTCAGTCAATCAAAAAACATTTATTAGGTACCTACTATGTGTGAAGCACTGTGCTAAGGAGGAAACTGAAGCCCAAGGAGTATTCATGATTTGCCAAAGATTCATACAAATATGAAGTCCAAGAGGCAGGATATGATCAAAGGTCCTTTGACTCCAGAATCAGTTCTCTTTACACCGTGACTTCAGTAGCTATACTTAAAAAAGCATTTATATAGCATGGCTTGTGGTCTATGAATAGCCTGGAAAATCTGTTCTAGTCTTGGTCTTCCAACAAATTCATATTATAATATAGAATTAGTTCTAAAGCTCATAGAAAAGAAAGTTTTCACCTATAGATAATTACTTCAAGTCTATTGGAGAAAGAAAGAAAGGGGTATTGGTTCAGCCTATGTGGAAAGGATAGCATTCTGCAGTCATCAAGTGGGTGAGTATAGAGAGAGAATATTAAGGGCTCAGGAAGAAGTCTTAAAGTTAACCACAAACAGGGACCTTGATAAGGATGGAAATCCAGAAAGGATCCAGAAGGGATCAAACAAGGTAGGGGGAGAGCCAGGAGAAAGTAGTGTCATAAAAATTCAGAGGAGAGAGTGTCCAAGAGGAGATAGGTGGTTAGTGGTGCCTAATGCTACAGAAAGGGCAAGAATTTTGAGGACTGAGAAAAGGATTTGCCAAGTAGGAGATGGTTGGTAACTTTAGAAAAAACATGATAAGTTTAGAAGCCAGATTTCAGAAAGTTCAGAAGAGATTTTGGGGATAGGAAGTTGGGGCACCAAACGTACATGGCTCTTTGAAGGAGTTTGGCTGAGAAAGGAAAGGTAGATAAAGGATAATAGCTTGAAGGGATGATTTGTTGGGTTTTCTGGTTTTTGTAAAGGAATCTTGAGTGTGTATCTTGGCACCAAGGAAGGTACCAACAGTTAGGGAGAAACTGAAGATCAGAAAGATGGAAGGGATTAAGGGGGGGGGGGGTTCATTTTAATGGTGAAGACAAGGATGAAATCAAGCAATTGTAACATGACTATCTTGATGTATTTGGCTCATAGGGAGGTGAGAATAGACATCTCTAGAGTCTGCTTACTTTCCCCCTTCTCCAAGAGAGACTTTAATTCCCATCAGGAAAGGAAGCAAGAGGTTGGGGCCAGTAGCTGGTCACTCTGCTATCTCAGAGAGAAGGGGTACTGAGATAGAATTGTATCTATAGGCTCTTTTAAATATTATAGTCTATGAGGATATATTTTTAGGTTCAAGCTAAGCTCCTCTTCACTATTTACCAGGAAAGGAGGGCAGGGATCCAAGTTTTATATCCAAGGTTTGACTCACTTCTCACAAAATACTAGATTCAAAGTGAACACACATAGCAAATAGCAAAGAAACCCATTTATTGAAGTCAATAGCAAAACAGAAATCAGAGAAAGTATATGTAGGAGAATGTATACAAGACAATGCAGAGTGAAGAAGCTCTCCCATTAGGAATGAGGTAATTCAGCTCAACTGAGAGAGAGCCCTAGATTTCACTCAAGGTCTCTAGTGTAGCAAGTTGAGGACGAGTACATAGTAGAGATTGTCAGCTCCTCTCATGTCAGCTTCTTCCCAGAGTCTTTCTCTCCCTTTAGTGATTTAAAGAGAGGGTAGCTAGCATTACGCATCTTCTCTCTCAAAACTGGAAGCCAGAAGAATCCCAAAGAGATGGAAGAGATTAGATTTCTCTTCTTTCCTGCTCTTGCAAACTCTATCTGCTCTTCTTGCAGGCAGAGGGTGTTGAATAATCAGTCTTTACCAATGAGTACAGATCCTACATAATTTGCACTTTGAGTCAGGGTTACACATACATATAGAGTGAATGAGGTTGGAGAAGAGAAGATACTACTGTATCTTCATCAGATCCTGTAGTAAAAGAAGAAATAATAAAATGATATCAAAGGATTGTGAAATGAGGAGGAGGATTTGTGAGCTGAGGAAAAGGGTAGCAGAAGAAGTTTATGTCAAAGGACCTCATATTTCAGTTAAGTGTGAGCTGAGGATTTCATTTTTAGAGTGAGAAGAGGCAGTACTGTGGGCAGCTTGAGGACAGAAGAGAAATTTCTTCCCATATTTATTATAATGAGTGATGTGGATAAAGATATAGATAGTATGCTGAGTGAATCTGTGGATGACATCAAGCTGAAAGGAGCAGCTAATGCAATGAATGACATGATTGGGATCCAAGAAGATACGTACTGGAATGATGGACCACATCTAACAAGATGATATGTGATAGAATAAATTTACATTTGCACTTGGCTTTTATTTATTCTTAAGTGTTTCTTGAATTGGGTGGGGGGAGGCTGTAGGGAAAGCTAGGTGGTGCAGTGGGTAGAGCATTGGCCCTGGAATCAAGAGGACGTGAGTTCAGATCTGGCCTCAAACACTTGACAATGGGGGCAAGTCACTTGACCCTATTGCCTAGCAAAAAAAACCAACCAACCAAACAAAAGAAATTCAACTGTACACATAGCATATTGGGGAGGGGAAGGGAGAGACAACAATTTAAAAGAGAGCTTGATACTTCATACTACTTGGTCAAATCTATTCTAAGATGAAATTGAATTGGGGTAATTGAATACTTCATGAAATGTTATAGTAATTCACAGAAGCATAGCACTTTAAGGTTTATAGAATGATTTCTTCAAAATAATTTTGCGAAGTAGATATTATGCTATTATTTCCATTTTACAAATCAGGTGTAGAATCCTCCCCTTTTTTCTTGTTGTTTCTTTTATTTTCTTGTTGTCATTTCATCTGTCTAGACTCTATAGTATTTCCAATGATGAAGCTACCACTGAAAATCTGTATTTGTTCTGCTGTCACTTGTACTCTTAGAGAGTTACCTGGGCCATTAAAAAATTAAATGATTTGCCTAGTCACAAAGCCAGTATGTGGCAGAGGAGACTTGAACATAATTCTTCTGATTACAAGGCCAACTTTTTATCTACTAGGTCACATTGACTTTTAGGTTAAAAAAATCCTTTAGCCTAAGTAATACTTGAGTTAAAAAAAATTAGCTTCACAAGTATAGGATAAAGGAGATATGGCTAGACAATATAGATCTTGTGATAAACATGGGACAGCTTTAGTGGATTGAAAACTCAATATGAACCAACAATGTGATATGACAACCAAAAAGCTAATGTGATCTTGGACCTCAGCAAAGCATAGTCTAAAGTAAGGGGAGGTAAGGATTTTTTATGGTCTCACTGTACACTGACTTGTTCAGGCAACGTGTGGAGTACAGTGTTCAATTCCAAATGCCACATGTTAGGAAGGACACTGACCATGCTAGAACCCATCTAACAAAGCATGATCAAGAGAGTGATGAATCTTGCAGCCATGCCATAAGAGATTCAGTTGAAGAAACTAGGTACATATAGGGGTCATGATCTAGTGCTTAACACAATACTTGGCACATATATAGCACTTCAAATAAATGCTTGTTCACTGACTGACTGATGATAGTCATTTTCAAGTATTTGAAGAGCTGTCATGTGTAAGATGGGTTAAATTTAATTTTCTTGGCCCAAAGAATAAATACTGTAGTCCTTTAAAAGGAAAAATACGGTTCAGCATGCAAAGAACTTATTAACAGAGTATCCCAAAGTAGAATTTGATGGCTGAGGAAGTAATGAGTTCTTTCTCACTGAAGGCCTTCAGACAAAAGCTAGATCAACACTTCGTGTTAATTTTGTCAAAGAAACTCCTTCCAGGTCCAGCACTCATTGAAAAAGATAGCTTCTAAGTTTCCTTACAATTCTAAGATTCTATGTCTAAGAGATGACTAGCCTGGTTCATTAGGAGGATAGTGATGCCATCCACAAAAACAGAGAAGTTAAGCAGAAGACATAGGAAAACATGTTGAAAATGGATGGAAAAACATCCAGACAGGAGAATTTGGGGAAGAAGATGTTTATAAAGATGATAACTAAAGTCATAGAAATAGATGGCATTGTTGAGAAAGAACAATAGAAGAAAGAAGAAATATAAGGTAAGAGGGACAAAGAAAGATCCTAGGAGACACCTGTATTTCAGGGGTGGTAAGAAGATGAGGTATTAGGAAGACTGACAAGGAACAGAAAGGTAGGAAGGAGAGTAGACCCATTTCATACAGATCCTAGGTGTAGATCTAGAAAGGATCTCAGAGTCCATCTAATACAAATCTCTCATTTTAGAGATGAAACTCACAGATGTTAAGTGGTTTGTCCAAGGTCACACAGGTAGGAAGTATCAGAGGCAGGATTTGGAACCTATCCTTTGATTCTAGTTGTGATATTTCCATTGAACCATTCACAAGTAAGGAAACAGGAGATAGATGGAAGGAGCTACCTAAGGATGGCAGTTACCAGGAAGAAGGGATTCAAGGGTAGAAGACACAGAATAATTGAAGTAACTAAGAG